TTTTCACATGTAAGCATGTCTTTGAAATAATTGGCTAGGCCATATATTATATATTCATTTACTGGGATATAATATTTTTCTATAAGGACCAAAGCTGGATATGAAGAAAACATGCTTTTTAAAGAAATAAACTGGAACCAAATATTCAGAAGAGATAGCATCCCTTTCACAGAAGGGAACTAGACGTTTACTCCCATGCCAGTCATTAGCTGTTCAGATGCTGGAGTTATGACAACTGGGGTGAGGGTGATCCAGCAGAGGCATCAGTACCAGCAAGACATTGGGCAAAAATAATGACTGTCAATCAATCACACTGAGTAAATCTGATCTTAACTAAGAACTATTAAGATGATCATAATTGTTTGACATGAAGTTTATCACAACTTCTTAAAAATCAGACTATGCCTCTGTGTGTGTGTGTGGTGTGTGTGTGTGTGTGTGTGTGTGTGTGTGTGTGTGTGTGTGTGTGTGTGTGTGTGTGTGTGTTTGGGTCCATGCCTGCAGAATTTGAAGTTAGAGGCAGTCGTGAGCTTTCTGTAAGTGCTTGGATTCTAACCCATGCCTTCTGAAATAGCAGCAAGCACTATCCATCGGTCTCCCCAGGGTTTAGAGATCTATAAAGAAGAGGAGGCAGAAGAACTGGAAGGTCCAAAGGTGATGGATGATTTTGACAAGACAGTGTCTTCTGGACACAACAGGGCTGGTGCGCTTATGAACTGTCTGAAACTGCAGCTCTAGGGGATCTGATGCCCTTGTCTGGCCTCTAGTAGCACCTATACTCACCTTACTCACATTAATTACGTACCTGCAATCAGTGTGTGTGTGTGTGTGCGTGTGTGTGTGTTTATACACAAACTTTAAAAACACTACCAAATTTTGGTAGAATGTGGAAAGTGAGAGAACTGTAGATACTGGCCCTCATATTAGACTCCTTGGTGCCCTGTCAGCATCACATCTGGTTTTTACTATGCTTGGGATGTGGACTTCTTAGGATAGTTCTTGCTGCCATCTCCTCTGCATGGGTACTTCTATGGTTTATATCATCTATGTCTCTAGGCTATTTTGTTCACTTTTATGTTCCTAAATATAATCTATCAGTGACCCCTCCCTTGAATTTCAGAAAGGATTTCTTTAAACTTCAATTTGTATTCTGTAGGCACCTAAAAATCCAACACATCTAATACTTATATTATCTCATGACTCTACTATGTCCTAGTTAATGATAACTTGGTCTACCAAATTGCTCAAAGAAAGAATCCCACTATTCTGGATTCTTCTACTTCCTTGTCTTGCCTCTCAATGTGTTCATCAGATCCTTTATAAACTATATTTTACAAAGCAATTTCCTTTGTTCAATGATGCAATAAGGCCAGATTTTCAATTTTGTTTATTCGTTTTTATATTGTGTGTGTGTTCATGCATATGGAGAGTGCAGGGTGACTTTTGAGCGGTAGTTCTTTCCTTCTACCATGTAGGTCATGGAGACTGAGCTCAGGCTGTCAGACTTGAAGGCAAGCATCTTTACCTCCCACCCTCTAACCTATTTTTTACTTGCTTTCCCCTTCTGTATCTCACAGCCATTTATAGAACCATCACCTTAAAAGCACTTTCTAAGGTGTTTCAGCTTCCTTGGTCACTCTGTCTGTCATACCTCTCAATGAATTTTCTGTTTTCCTGAACCCCACAAGCCTTAGCTAGTTGTAGTCACATAGAAAGTCTTTCTCTAACATTTTTTTAACCCTGGGAAATCTTACTTGCCTTTTTATACCCAGCTCCATTATCATTACTATGTGATAGCTTCCTCAATGTTCCCAGGGTGAGTTAACTTTTCTCCCTCTATAGTTTCCTGACAGAATCATAAGTAAGTTGAAGATGATAACACATTACCATCATTGTTTTATGTTTGCGTCCCTCGTCCCTCTTTAATACTTTTAAGACAGTGCTATTAGCTTTCCTGGCCTTGGTGGCTAGAATAGCATCTGGGAAAAAAACGTGGATGTCAAAGTATGTTTGCTGAATGAATGGTCTCAATTTCATTCTCCAAGAAATGCAACTCAAAGAAATGTCAGTACCACACTATAGTATTTCTTTGTGAAAGTGAGAGACAATTCAATACATAATTTTCACAATTTTCAGCAGCATAACACATGCAATGTTTGGGCATTACCTAGGAAATGTATTCCATTTTCCTCTTGTCTGGATCACTTCCAACATGTATTTGTGTCAACTACTCCTCTCCACTGTAATCCCCCTCTTAGAATAAGATGTTCATTTCATACTTTTATTGCCTGCTTGTCACAAGTTGTAAGCTCTGTAGAAGAGGCTCCCTGCATTTATCATAAAACTGAAAACTGTAATTAGGAAATGCACAAATGTACTGGGACCTGCTCCAAGATGCTTACTGTCTCTAGGAAGAAAACTGAGACCTGGAGCTCCCTTAACCTTAAATGGATAAAGATAATGATGGTAAGTTGAAAGGGCTTCTTAGAAAGACATAGATAGAGTGAGCTTCCAAGATAAGACCGTTTTTGGCCCTGGAAATGGGGGCTTCTTGTTCATCCATAGATACATATCCAAATGGACTGGGATGCCAGGCAGACTTTGGCACATGACTGTAGCATAAGGTAAAGACATGCCTCATACCTTCAAAAGGTTTAACACTTCTAGGCAATAGAGGCTCATTCAAAATACATACACAAAAACCTGTTCAACATGTTCATATAAAAGAAGGAATATTTCTCTACTAACTCTAGCCCTAGAAGCCAAATGTGAATAAGCTAGTAAATTTATAGAGACAAATTTAGGCTAAATGGATATTTTTTTCTGAAAGTGAAATCAAACTGCTCAGTGAATGAGGGTGTTCCCACCATTGAAAAGCAGCCTGGATGGGATGTAACAGAAGATGACTTATACCAAGGGAGAATTATACAAGGGGAAGCTGTGACAAGCATCAATCAGCACCACTTGGATATTCTTACTCCACCATTTTGCTTCCAGAGGAAAAAAAAACATTGCCTTGGGAAGAATTAACAAACTAACAGACCATCCTTGGATAGCAACTGTCTAACAATTCATCTTGTTACTCACTACTATGGAATCAAGGAAGTCTAAGATGAAGGTGTTAGATTTGTTGTTTAGTCATGTCTCATTCCTATTAGATGCAGTTTGGTTTTGCTCTTGTCCTATCTTGGTTGAAGTGGAAAACGGGGTTTCTCAAGGCTTTTTTCATGAGGACATTGTTATGTAGCTATTCGAACTGAAAACCAGATAGCCTTGGCTGTCCAGGAGCTCACTATGAAAACAAGGCTGGCCTTGAGTTCTTGGATCCTCCTGCTTCTGCTTCCTGAGTTCCGGGATTAAATGTCCAAACAAGACCCTACTTCTTGCAACAACTGCACTACAGAAGAGGTTACAACATGTTAACTTTGTTGGAACACAAGAATTTAGAACATTGATCTGGGAAGATGTCTAAATGGGTAAGAACTTGAGTCCATAGCACTCACATAACTGGGTATGGTCACTGTGTGTGTAGATTTTTTGGGGGGTGGTTGTGAGGAATAATAAAAGGTTCACTGGGAATTGCAAGCTGCCAACATGGCTCGAAGATCAGTGAGAGACGCTGTCTCAAGAGAAGAGTAACATCCTTCTCTGGTCTCTATGTGTATGCATGTGTGTGTGAGCTTGCATATGTGCATGTGTGCATACCATATACACACATACACACAAACCCACAAATCACAAGGAGAGAACTTAGAACATAACTGAAACCATCTTAAATTGTGAGCCTCTACACAAACTCTTCCTCCATTATCTGGGGTTCTGAGTGGGTGTTAAAAGGGAAAAAAGCTCGCCCAAGAATTCTTAAGGCGGTGATCTAAGGGAGACAGATTCAAATAGCATCAGAAATGTTCAGTTTTGTCTTGATTTTCACGGCTTACTGCACATCCATTCACATGTTTCTTTGTATGAGCAATATAATAACCAGCTTTCAGAAGGATGGACAGCATAATGAATGGATTGTAAAACATGCTCATAAAAACAGTAGAGTGTGTCTAGAAGTGGGTGCTATCTGCTCTTGATTCACTGATTTCCTGGCTCGTGCTTTTACATAAGTTGCACATTTTCTATTAAAAAGACGCATTTAATGGGCATGCAATTAATTTTATTTTTTTCTTCTTTTTCCTCCCAAGGTGATTAAAAAAAAGTGTCTATGTGTGGAAGGGAGGGTGCATTTTATAGTCCTGACAGAACAATGCTATCAGACCCATAGAGTTTCTTACAGGGTAATTAATGCATGTTAAGTATCTTGTAAATATTATGTGGTAATAGCTCTAAATAAATATACACTGCAGTCAAAAGGATCTGCTCCACCCCTGCCACAGGGAACGAGATGTTCCTAATTAATGCCTTTAGAAGAGGGTCCTGTGTCACCTTGGATTGTCTTGGGAAATTACAGCTTTAGTGTGCAGAAGGCAGTAGGAACGATTAATTAAGAAACCTTGACACGCCTGGTATGTGTCCCACCTGGGCTAAGTGGGTTGGACAGGCCCACCTGCTTCGCTCTTTCCCTCCAGCAGCCTCTGTTAGAGAACAGGCTGCACAGCTATGATTGCATTTCTCAGAGCCATTCCAGCTCCAGGAAGACAAGCTTTAGAGGACCCCACAGTGCCTGGCACGTGTCTGCACATGCCCCAAGGCTCTGTCTGGTAAGTGAGAGGAAGGGATGTGGATGTATGGGTTTGAGCTTAATTCCTGCTTCCTATATGACCTTCTGCCTAGTCTGGAGATGGACTCTATCAGGTATGTGGTCCTCATGGTCTTCTCTTAGCCCCTGGGTACAGATGGGTACTACCAGGGTCTTGAATGTTACTGTCATTGGAGATCCTCAGAAGTGGTGGAGAGTGACAGAAGGCCTCTGGATTTCCCATGTCTAATGATCCCCCTCTGAGCTTAGACTGGCATGTTAGGGACTAAGGCTACAAGCACCAAGACCGCTGAGGTAGTTGGCATACATTTATTCTTGTTGATTCCTAACCATTAATGTAGAGTGCCTCACAATTCTCTCCATTTCTATTACATTTATTTATTTATACATTACTTATTTAGTGGGGAGCACGCTATGGTGTGTATATGGAGGGCTGGAGAACAATGTGATTCAGTTCACTCTTTCTACCGTGTGGGTCCCAGGGATCAATTCATGTCATCAGGTGTGGCAGAAAGCACCTTTATCTGTTGAGCTGCTTGGCTGAACATTCTCCTCACTTCTGAATATATTCACCTCTAAGCTTGTCCTTTGATGACTTCTGTGCACTTCAGTAATGTCAGTCCCTTGGAGATTCAGTTCACTTGGAGATTCAGTTGAAAGATTTATCAGAAGTCTGTCAAATGGTTTTGCAAATTTCCCAATCTCACTTTTATGATAGCACCTTCCTCCCGCCTCTCCTTTGGTGCTTGGAATTCCTTACAGCTATCTTAGCCTTTGCACCTTTGTTATGGCCTGAATCTGAAATATCTCTTACCGGTCCGTGCCCTGAATGCTCAATCCCGCATTGGAGGTACTATACCAAAAGCTATTGTGTCTTTAGAAAGTGGGCCAGGATGGCGGAAGAAGGTCAGTAGGGGGCAGTTTCCATCTTCTTTCTGTGTTTCTTGTCTTCCAGGATGTGAGCAGGCATCAACCTCAGGTATCTGCCACCTTATCTTCCAGTCATCATAGACTGAAGTCCCTCTGAAACCATAATCCAAGTCAAAATAAATCTCCTTTTCTTGCTTCTGTCAGGTGTTTGGTTACAAACTGTGAAAAGTAAGGACTACAAGCCTCAGAAGTGTGGTTTCAAATGCAACCTGGTGGAGCTGTGGCTGATAGCAGAAAAGATGTTGGTGGAGTTTAGCAGCAGCAAAACCTTGAAGGATCAAGATTATCGAGAAGAATGATACTCAGAATACAGAATGGGTATTATGATATGACCAAAAGAACCTACTTGAATTATTTATGGGACAAGTCCAAGTACTGCCAAACATGAACATGGAGTTCACTTTGCTAATGATGCCTTTGCAAGAGAATTTCATAGCAGTAAATTTCCCGAGAACTAATGTCAGTAGACACTTGAAACAAGGATATTGAGCTCATGGTGTAAGTCAGACAGGGACAACTCAAAGGTCTGAACAGAAGGGGTCATTCTCATAATACAATAAACATTGCTGAAAATGAGGCATGACTTCCAAGGTGCTGTCTTCATAGAAGAATGTGCCTTATGTTCTTAGCATGGTTAGTTAGAGAAAATCACATTCCTGGTTCTGGTAGAGGTACGGGAAGAGGTGAGGGTATTTGTTACTATTCTTGAAGGAGATTGAAGTCTTTTGCCATAGAGAAGAATACTGAACTCATTCTAACTAGAACAGAAGCCAGTGAGGGCTAACCCCAAGGAGCAAGGTGGGAAGAGTGAATGGAACAATTCTCAAAGTAATTTGGTTAAATGTGATGGGAGTAAAGGGAGATGAACTTGGCATCTACCTTGGATGGAAACATGCTCAGTTGGACACCAGGAGTGAGGGACTCTTACGAAACACAGTGAGAGTAATATTAAGCCAAAGCTGTCCCTCCAAATGGGAACATTCATTTCCCTAGGGAAATGAGAATTAGAAAGCCAACCAAACCTATGAGGCATCTGAACTTACCAGACTTGGTGTTAGTATTCTATATCTGGCCTTCCTTTGGAGTTTTGACACTCCAAAGTGTCAGTTCTTCAGCAGTTCCCCAGATGCTGCCACTAAGAGCACCACCCTTGGCTATTCAATGTGTTCCCTTTTAAAAGGGCTCCACCCACCTTCTATCCCTCTCTCTCTTTTTCTCTACTTCTCTCTGTCTATTCCTTTCTCTCTTACTTCTCTGTCTTTCTCTGTCTCTCTCTGTCTTTCTCTGTCTCTCTCTGTCTTTCTCTGTCTCTCTGTCTCTGTCTCTGTCTCTCTCTCTCCTCTCCTCTCCTCCAGTGCTTCTGTCCCCGGAGGTCTGTCTCCCTCTTCCCCTTTCTGCATTTTACAATCCTTTTCCCCTTAGAGAAAACCCCCCTCTGATTGAACTCTGTGGCATAGTATCTCTCTCTAGTGAGCCACTTTTTATAAATTGCAGCACTTGGGACAACAAGAAAGTGACGGGATTCACAGCCTTCTTTTCCTTCTGGCCAGTTGAACCATCTTTTGAAACACTTAGTGCCATTGGATATTTGCTGGGTGGTAAGAGCCCACCAGCATTTAAAGACATTTAAGAATCTTGCCTCTGGGAGAAAAACACCGCCGCCGCCCCCCCCTCCCCTCCCCCCCGAGAGCAACAGGATGCCTGTTGAACATTCCTTCAATAATGCCCGTGTTGGTGCATTCGGGCGGCTATGACAAAATTACCTCAGCTGGGGAATAATAAACAACAGAATTTGTCATTCATCTGGAAAATCATCTGCTTTCTGGAAGATACTTGGCTCTGTCTTGTGAAGTTGAGACTTCATCCCCAACAAAATAGTCTCCTGTCACAAAAAGGGAAAGAATAGGTCATTCACAGTATGGCCAATGAAATGGAAACAATAGAGAGGATATATAGGGAGAGGATGTCTTAATGTTTGTGTTAGGGAGGACTGACTTACCTGACTGGTGAAGTCTAAAGCTCACAGGATATGCCATTAGGATGAGCTGATGCACCTCTAAAGCTCCTATCACATGGGCTCTCTCTCTCCCCACTCTCTCTGTCTCTCACCTCTCTCTCTCTTTCTCTCTCCTGTGTTAGTTTCAGACCAGCTTTTAGGAAAAAACTCCATTGAAATTGAATCAATCCCATCTGGATTATCCAACATAATGTCCTGGGCTTAAAGTATAATGGTTATGGTTTTAATTATAGCTGAGAAATACCTTTAGAGCAAACCCAAGACTTGCTAGTGATTTGATAGCTGAGCCAAGTTGGTGTGCAAAACAAAAGCACACAGTAGAGTGTTCAAGAAAATATATGCAGTGTCCTAGTGTAGTGATGTATACCTTTAAGTTCAACACTTGGGAGATGGATACAGACTGATCTCTGTGAGTTCCAAACCAGTCAGGGCAGTGAGATCCTCTCTTTCTCCAAAACAAACAGACAAACAAACAAAACAAAAAACAGAACAAAAAAACCCACCACAACCAAGTAAGCAAAACAATAACACACACTCATGCACTAAAGAAAATAAAAACCTACAAATAAGCAAAAAAAAAATGATAGTATGACCTTTGGATGTCATTAGCAAGAGGGCCATCTTAGTCTTTTAATTTTGTAATTGGTATTTCATGGTCCTATAAGTTTAAGAACAATTTGTGCAAACGTAGTAAGATGTGATGTCTCTTCTATATTTCTTACTTCTTTGGTTGCTATTTTGCTTGTTTGTATTGCTTAGCAAAGAAAGTGACCCACAAGATTTTACAGCACCATTGGACAGCAGGTTCCTTTTCTGAAGCCTTTGTTTCCCCGCAGATTATGAAAATTTGAGTTCCTCCTAGTCTGTCAACTCAGACCTGTCATCCTGCTCATTTCCTCCATCAGAATCTACAGAAGCCTCTGACAGGCATTCATTATCTGTTTGTGTGAAAATGATGTTTCTAGTGATTTGGGAAATATGTTCCGGCAAGATCAGAGGAGGGGGTGTAGGCAGGGATGAGCTGGGTGGGTAAGAAGGAACCCTGGGAGAAAGGGAGGGGAGAGCTGATGTTTGGGTACAAAGCCTGCAGGCCTGAGGTTTAGGGAAGTGGAGCTAATACTGCCTGCCGGCTGAAGGCAGAGCCCTGACTTAGTAACTCAGGAAGAAAGGAGGAGCCTGACATGGGTTTGAATTTGTTGAATTAAGCAGTAAGAACTTTTGCCTTCTATGAACTCAGAAATGAGACAGAGACAGACAGACACACACACACACACACACACACACACACACACACACTCATAGAAGGAGGACAGAGGGAAGGAACTATAGGACCCCAGTCTTTGGAATAGTGCTGCCCAAATTTGGGGTGAGTCTTCTCACTTCACTGAGCCTAGTCTACAGACTCACTCACATGTGTGCCTTCAGGGATTCTAGATTCCCATCATGTTTGCAGTCAATATTAGTCATGTTTGCAGTCAATATTAGTCACAGGAGGTGAAGAGAGGTGGTCAGAGACATCTATGTTCAGAGACATCTATGTTTTGCCTGGGCAGTGAGGAAAACCTAGACACTTAGTTTCTTTTGCATGTGTAGCTCCTACCATGACTTCCAGAATGAGATACAAATATTGAGAGTGAACACTTTGGGTTGAAGTTACGATTTGATGAACAGGCCAGAATAAAAGTGGTCAAGACTAAAGATTAGGGTTAAAATGAATGTAAGAGTGCTGAGGAAGATAAAGGGGAGGGCTTGTAGCTGGAAAGCCAAGCTAACTAGGTAAGAGGAAGGGCAGAGCTTGGAAAAGGGACAAAATACCCATGAAGCCCATTCCTGAAAAGCACTGGTAAGATATGATGACTCTTTCCCTTGTGAGCTCATTAACATCATGTACAATGCACCTTTAGATGTATTCTTGCATGGAATGCATCTGGTTGTAAATTTTATTATAGGTAAGGATGGCTTCTAAGAGAGCTTTTGCCTGGTCTAGAAGGGGAACAACCCCAGATCACCCTAGGCATCAGCAAGGGTTGAGGGTTGGGGAAATGCTAGACAGAAACTCACAAGTTCATGTATCAGACGAGTGCTTCTCAAACGTCCTAATGCTGTGACCCTTTAATACAGTTTCTCATGTTATGGTGACCCCCAGTCATAAAATTATTTTCATTGCTACTTTATAACTGTAATTTTGCTACCATTATGAATCAGAATGTGAATATCTGTGCTTTCCTATGGTCTTAGGTGACCCCTGTGAAAGAGTTATTAGACACCCCAAAAGGGTCACAACCCACAGTTTGAGAACCTCTGTACTAGAGACAGCTGCTTGCTAGGGCCACTTAGTTAGGTCCAATCTAAAGGGCATACTTTGCTTTAGTTGATGTTCCTTTAATGTCGCTTTAGCTGTGTCGTGGTGAAATTCTTCTTACTCAGGAAACAAGAACCAAGGCCTCTGTGGTTGTAATCAGGGAATTCAGAAGGGAATGTCTCTTCATTCATAACAGGCTAAGTTCACCGAGATAGTACCAGTCAATATGATAGGCACCTTCTTGCATAGGCATGGACCTCAACTCTATCAAAGGGCAGAGGCTTTGGGAGCTCCAACATACCCATTCCTCCCTGCTTTCCCCTTCCTTAGTCTACATGAAGAAACTCTTCACACTATACCCACAAGTATGCAAACCCACAACTGAGGTTTCAGGCAAACTGCAGTCCTGCAGAATCCTCACAATTCAGGGCAAAGCATATGGGAACTCTTTCAGGATCCAGGCGTGCTACAATCAAGCAACTCCATACACAGGTCTCTAATAGTACAGCAATCAGTGCTAATCACCCATACCGTTTATGTATAGGAGGGCCTAATAGGATTCATGCCTCTGTGGTGAATACATTTTCCTTTAAAGGACGACACACAAGCATACATTACCTGTTTAATTAAAAACAAAATTCTCCAGCCAACAATTTGCTCCTTCCCTTGGGCATACGCTATATACATTATGATGCTTCCCCTAAGTCAACTGATTGCATATTCTCCAACTAGTTTGTCATTGTATATGACTGCTTATGGTTTAGGCAGATAAACATTTGATCCTGGTTTCTCTTTTGATGAGAACTGGGTTGCTTTTGTGCCAATATTGAGGTAGAAAGTTAATGTATACTGACTGCTATGCACTGCAGATCATGAATACAAGCTGCTTGATGTATAACATTGTTCCCATGGAGATGTGAACAAACCTCTACTCACCATAGACAGGGAGCCAATGGTGGACTAAATGATATCAACAATTCAACTTGAGAAGCCAATGAGCTTATTTGGGTTACTTAGAGAAGTGTGGTGAGTGGTTAGTTATAGGATCAGAATGACTCAAACACAGCTGTATCACCAAAAACACGTTCCAGTCTCCATGACTGCTTAGGAAAGTTGCATCCTTGGAGCTCACTGCATGACTTCCGGGAAGTTTGACAGGTTAAAGAAGGTCTCTCCTAGGCAGCTCAACTGTTCTAAGCATCTTGAAAACAAGTCACTAACTAGTCTCTATCTTCAAGGCAACTTGTCCTGAGAGTATCTGTCTTAGTTAGGGTATCTATTGCTGTGAAAAGACACCATGACTACGGCAACTATTACAAAAGAAGACATTTAATTGAGGTGGTGGCTTACAATTCAGAGGTTTATTACATTATCATCATGGTAGGTAGCATGGCGGCATGCAGGGAGATATGATGCTGGTATCATCTTGATATAAGGGCAAAAGGAAGTAGATTGACACTCTGGGAAGTATCTTGAGCATAGGAAACCCCAAAGCCATCCCTCACAGTGACACACTTCTAACAAGGCCATACCTACCCCCAATAAAGCCATACCTCCTAATAGTGCCACTCCCTATAAGTTTATGGGTGACATTTTCTTTCAAAACATCAGTGTCTCTCAACAGTCTGTACTGTTTATGAACCTTTGGGGACAGAGATGTCTAATTCATCTGGTAAGTTTCAAAGGCCTCCTGAAACTCCTGAGTTGTACTTCCCACTGTTAATGAGCTCTTGCAGGATGGGAAGCATCAACTCAGAGGAGATTGTTGCATAACAATGCCAAAGGCATCCAAGGGCAGAGAACTCATTCTTAGTTCTTGCTTCCTGTTGACAGGTTGGTACCAAGGCAACTCCCTAAAACATACACATAAAAATGGGAAAGCCACAGTGCACAGTGGTAAGGAGTCCTGTGATTTGCACACATGAAAGTTTGTGGCCCGAAACTTCTAATTGCTACTTAGATGTTGGTTATTTTAAATACTACACATGTTGCTTAACCCAGAGCCCCATGAATGCTTTGTAACAGTAACAAATACTCAACAAATGTTTGTCATTATTACTCATATGAAAGTAGGTGCTCAGGGTTGTAATTGTGACACAGATCTGTAATCTTGGTACTTAGAAGGCAGAAACAGGGGGATTACTATGAGTTTGAGGCCAGCCGGGTCTGTATGAGCTCTAGGCTAGCTAGGACTATGTCCTGAGATGTGATCTCAAAACAAAACATAGCAAAATAACAGCAGCTCAGTTGGTAAAGTGCTTTCCTTAGGAGTACAAGGACCTGAATCCAATCCCTCAGAAACTATTTATGAGAAAGCTGAACACAGTGACATGCATGTCTAACTGCAGAGCTGGGGAGCAAGAGAACTGGCAGATCCTGGGCTTACTGGCAGGTCACTGAATCCTCAAAATCAGAGGAAATCTCACAGTCAGAGGGAACGAAAGGAAAGCAGGCACAGAAATGAAGAATGGTTGTCATGTCAAGCCTGTGCTCGTGAGATGGGGAGATGGAGCCAATGACTGCAGGTAATTGAAGCAATATTTCAAGTGATATACACATGCTCCACTTTAACAGATCTTTCCCACTGGCCACCACTGTATTTTATGTTATCCTACTTTTAATTAGACAATACATGCTTATTTATAGAGATTTACTACTTATCCAGGGTGACATTACAATAAATTAGTTTTCACTCCTTACCTCAGACTTTTCCATGCTTTAAAATGGAACCATATATATTGTATAACATTATTTTAGAAAGCATGTTCAAATTATATGCTGCTGGGATCACAATAGGCATGGCTGAAGGTTGAAGGCTCCAGGAACTGACTTACAGAACCCCTTTGGGAAAGTGGGAATCTCTGCATCTACACAGTGGAGAGCTAACACCAATGCCTGCTCTGGTTTCTGTAATGGCTGTTTGATTGAGAACTTGCCCACCACCCTTCACCAATGCTTGGCTGAGTATTTGGAAAGGCTTGAATGTATGGATAAGCTCTGTTGACTGTGGCGTGGGGTGGGACAGTGGGAACACAATTGATAAACTGTATGAAATAAGAGTAACCAATACCCAAGTAGGGAGAATGGTGGTGGTTACAAAAAGAGTTTCCAGGACCTCATTGACTTTTGTTTTTTCTGCACCATCAGTAGAATATGGACCAGAAAAAGAAGGATACAGGATAATTATCTGTGTGTGTGTGTGTGTGTGTGTGTGTGTGTGGTGTGTGTGTGTGTGTGTGTGTGTGTGTGTGTGTGAGTCAGTGTGTTCATGTGTGTGTGAAAGCCAGGAGTCAACTTCAGGTGTCATCTCTCAGGTGCCACACATCCCCTTTGAGACTAGTTCTCTCGTTAGTCCTGTTCTCGCCAGTTAGGCTAGGTGAACAAGCTAGGGAGCATCAGAAATCTGCTTATCTTTGCCTCCCCAATGCTTTTGTGTGTGAGTTCTGGATATCAAACTCAGGACTTTGTGCTTAGGCATCAAATACTTTACCCACTGAGCCATTTAGGCCTCAGGATTATTGAAAAATCTCCATCTTAGCCACATCTTAAAGCAGCCTGGAATCTACACGAACCCACTGTCTAGGATGGAAATCTAATATTATATCTCTCGTTTCCACAGCTATGGCTTCACTGTGTTGATAATTGGGCTGTCAGTCATGGCCAACAATGACTTGTAATATCATAATTATGAATAAGCCCTATTTTAACTTCCCGAGTATATTTTGTGGGCTTGACAGTGTCCCAGACACTTTCTTCATTGTTTATCATGAAATCCCCTCACACCTAACCCTTGGATACTAAGAGAAAGAGAGATGTTCAGTCACTTTCTCGAGTCACCAATCTGGCAAAGAGTGATGCCTTCATTAGGATGCATATTGCAATGGCTCCAAATTCATCTCCAGCTATGTAGCTAGTACACCACTGCTCATGAACAGCTTTAGCATCTTGTAATGGACTAAGAATTCAGAAGCCCAGTTCTCCAGAGAACTTTCCTTATTTTTTGGTTAACTGCTATGTCCTTTTTTTATGCTACCAACACCCACAACTTCACCCTTAACAATTTCATGTTTCTCATACTTAAAGCCTGTGCATGAATTTTTATTTGCATATGTGTATAAGTGTGCCATATGTACACATGATATCTGTGGAGACCAGAAGGTGGCACTGGATCCCTTAGAACTGAAACTGCAGATAGTTGTAGCTGTCGTGTTGGTGCTGAGAACCCAACAGAGATCATCTTTAAAAGCAGCAAGTAATCTTAACCAGAGCCATCTCTGGAGCTCCCATTTTTAGTGTGTTAGAATGAATGTGAAGAAAGGAAGCAGACTATTGTAGAAATGAGCATTGAGAAGTATAGTTGCTAGGTTCTGCTCCTGGGAGAAGAGTCAAAACCATTTCTAGTAATGAATACTGTTTATTTTGAGTTTCTATTGCTGTGATGACACGCTGTGACCAAACAGCGAGCTTGGGAGGAAAGGGTTCCATCACTGAAGGAAGCCAGGACAGGAACTCAAACAGGGCAGGAACCTGGAGCAGGAGATGATGCAGGGGTCATGGAGGGGAGCTGCTTACTGGCTTGCTTATCCTGGCTTGCTCAACCTGATTTCTTATAGAACCCAGGACCACCAGCCTAGGGATGGCACCACCCACCATGGGTGGTGCCCTCCTGCATTGATCACTAATTGAGAAAATGCCTTACAGCTGGATCTATGGAGGCATTTCCTCAACTGAGGCTCCTTCCTCTCTGATGACTCTGGCTTGTGTCAAGTTTATCTAAAGCCAGACAGTACAAATGACAAATGCTTTCTAATAAGATCATTAGCAGCAAGGTCAGGGGATCTATCAGAGCAAATTAGGAAATTCAGTCTACCACTGGTGGCTATTTAGATGCACACATATGACTAAGGAAGGGTCTTCCTATAGATTTTGCAATGTTAGTGACTATTTTTAATTGCTTATTTTTAATTGTGTATGTATGTATACATGTGTTTGCCTATGTGTGTATGTGCATGTGAATGTGGGTACCTGCAGAATCCAGAAGAGGGAGCTGGGTACCTTGGATCTGGATGACTGGGTAGTTGTGAGCTACCTGGAAAAGAGGCCAGTCAAAGAAACACACTCTGAGCAGAGCCAAAGAAACACTTTGTTCCTGCAACCACAACAAAAGAAATGTACCCTGACCCTGAAACCAGTGCCAAAGGAACACACTTTGTTCCTGCAATCAGAGTCAGTGAAAGAAATACACCCTGGCCCTAAAATTAGAGCCAAAAGGCTAAAATGAACCAGAGAAAGAAACACTTTGGCCCTGAAACAAGAGCCAAATCTGACCTTAATTCTGTGCAAAAAAGTAACCAATCCTCGAGCAGAGCTCTAGCCAATCTGAGTTCAGCACTGAAATCGGACCAATCCCTACCCTGGAAAAACTTCCCCAACCCCAAGAATCCCTATATAAATCCTGTGTATGTTCAGCTTGGCTGGTCCAGCTGCTTCCTTCCGATAAACCCCTTCGATGAGCTTTGGATGAAGATCTTCTTTTGCAGCAGCAACTGAGCAGAGGCGACCCCGGACAGAGCAGAGCAGAGCGAGCAGGGCTGTAACACTTGCCGGGGAAACCTTCCCTTGGAGTTGTTACACTCAGCTCCCTGCTCTCCCCGAGCAGAGCTGAACTGTAGCAACTTCTCCAGAGAAACCTCCTGCCAAGCAAAACTGCTACACTGGGTGAACATCCACAGCTGGAGACCTTGTCCTGCCGCAGGGGAGCCTATACAGTGGGGAATCCTTTCTCTGAGGCAAGGCTGTAAGCTGCTAAACCTACTACAACCTGTGGTAGTCCTTGGCTCCCGAGCTCCAGGATACCTTACCACCTGAGCTGTGTAACACTCAGTATTCTGTGGCTCCCGAGTGCCAGAATACCCATCCGACCTGATCTGACTGAAATGCTTACAATGTGGATGCTGGGAACTGGACTCGGACCCTCTGCAAGCATTCTTAACTGTTGAGCCTCTCTCTAGCCCGAAGAAACATTTGACACCTGAGGTTTGTGGACATGTAAACCTATTGCATGCAGGAGTCCGAGTTACTTTCTGTTCTTTTTAAGAACAAGATCATGTTCCATAGTTCTTTTCAGAGCTTGAAGTTGTCCTAATATGTAGGGAGATACCTCAGCAGATAAAGTACTTGCTATGAAAGCATGAGAGCCTAAGCTTAATCATTAGATCCCCCACAAACAACCAGGCACAGTAGTGTGTGTTTCTAATCTCAGCACTGGGGAAAGGGAGACAGATAGATCCCGATAGTTCACTGGCCAGCTGCTAGAGGAAATAGAAAGCCCCAGGTCTTAGTGAGAGACACTGTTGCAAAAACAAACAAACAAACAAACAAAAAAACAAAGTGAGGTGACCGCAAGGAATGAAATCTGTGGTTATTCTCTAGCATCCATGTATATGAATGCACATGCACATATATACCCACAGAGAGATGCATGCATGCCTACCCACACATGTGCACCTATTCATACGAACATGTACATCACACATGCAAACAAAGAAACAACAAACATGGCTTCCTTTCGATCTTACAAGGAAGACAAGCTGCGTCTCTAATGTATTTACTTTGTACTTTCCAGCCCAACTTGTCTCTCAGCTCAGGGATTCAGCCCTTACCAAACTAAATGTTATACAATGAAATCTCATGCACATGCATGTACACTACACTACACACACACACACACACACACACAGAGAGAGAGAGAGAGAGAGAGAGAGAGAGAGAGAGAGAGAGAGAGAGAGCTGAAAGATTAACCATCGCATTTCTTCTTGAGGACAATGGACATTCATCCCTCTCTAGATTGCGCTTACCAAAATGATCCGGTATTATTATACAATGAAATCCCTGCTCCCACAAGTGTATCTGTACATACCTGCACACATGCACACACATCCACCCTAGATGCAAAGTAGGTCTTTAAGAAATGTCTCCCACTGACTTACCTGAATGAAAGCAAGACCAATTCCCCATCCCGAGACTCCCTTGGAGGAAAATTAGTATGTTGCACCCAGGAGCAGCAGGGCATCAAAGGGCTGTTTGACATTTTCAAAGCTGATTTCAGATGCTCAGAGGAATCTGCTGGTACATTACTTTTCTGCCTCAGTAGTCTGGGTTATATTCACAGCATGTAACATTCTGCAGAGCTCTGCCAGCCAGGGGAGGGTAGCTACTGGAGGGAGGGAGGTAGAAATTCCAGCTGAAGTTTTGGCAGAAGAGAAGTGTGGCAACACAGAATCCCTTGTTTTAAGTCAAATCCCTGGATACAAGCAAGGAGCAATGATAAGAAGGCATTGATCCAAATGAACTGGAGATAAAGCTCTCAAATCAGACAGCAGGACAAACCATCACTCTGACCGTAGAAAAGAAAGATTATGTGAAAAAAATAGGAAGTTCATTACTATTTCTTTCTTTTTCTTTTTCCCTTCCTTCCTTCTTTCCTTCCTTCCCTTCCTTTCTCTCCCACCTTTCCCCATTTCAAAAGAATCTCATGTAGTACATGCTAGTCCCAAACTCATCATATGACCAAAGATGACCTTGAAATCCAGAACTCCAGATCCTCCTGCCTCAACCTTCCAAGTGCTGGGGTTCTGAGCACGTGCACCACCATGCCTTCTTTAGGCCGTGCTGGATTTGGAACTCAGGGCTCTACCACTTGAGTTATAGCTGCAGACACCCTCGAATTTTTTTTTATAGCAGCAGAAACCTGAGGTTTCATGTCAATTAACCCACAATCTAGAGCGAAATGTATGTATGCAAGAATAAATAAGAAATTAACACTTGATTCTCTGAGTAGATGTCACCTGATCAAATAAAAATGTGTAGGAAGATTCAGGTAAAGATTGTCAGCAAATTGCTGGAATTTGTTTTGCAGGCTAGTGAGCAAGTGGGACATCCTACAAGATGGGTGCTGTCTTAGTTTCAGTTATTGTGTTAAAATGCCTTGATGAAAAAAAATTGTTGGCCCCAGGCCCATGGGGTCTCTGTGAGTTGCTGATCAGCCTACAAGTGCAAACTGTTTTCCAGTCCAAGTGCTTTCTGTTTTCTAGTCCTAGCTTACTGCCCTGGCCTTGACCCTCTGATATCAACATATAGCAGAAGGAAAACATGCTCTCTTCCACCTGGAGTTTTTCCACTGTGCTGTAAACCTGTATATAAGACTGCTTCCTCCTACAAGAGAGAGACCTCTTAGCACTTGCAATAAAGACACACACACACACACACACACACACACACACACACACACACGCACACACACACACACACATTCTCCTGACAATAAAGGCAGCACATGCATTCTCTTATTACAAGACATCTGGATGTCTTGTCTTTCTTTTCCTCATACCTTGGACTTGCTTGTGGTGCAGGCGCCACACAAATTACAGTATTTTTTAAAGTAAGAGTTATTTTAGTTCATAATTCCTGGTTAAATTCCGTCACAGCACAGAAGTCAAGACAGGAACTTGAGCAGCTAGCCATATTAGAACTACAGTCATGAGTAAAGGGAAAATGAATACATATATGTTTTCTTGCTTGCTTGTGGTCATCTCAGTCATTCCTTCATAGACAGTTCAGGCTCAAGGCCTAGAGAATGGGGCCACCCACAGTGGGCTGGGTCTTCCCACATCTGTTGACTGAAGATAATCCCCTTCAGACAAAGCCATAGTTCAACCCAATGATGACAATCCCTCATTGAGACCCTCTTCCCAGGTGACTCTAGGTTGTGTTGATCACTCAATAAAAACTAACAAACATAGATACCAATACATGGGAATATGTACCTACTGACATGTTTTCCACTGGAATCCCATTGGCCTGTAAATGCTTCCCACACGGTGCTGACTATAAAAACAGAAGCCTTGGTTGTAACTCCACTGAGTCATGTGCCACATCTCCTCTCAGAAACAACAGTTTTACTCTGCTTTAGGGTAGAATAAGAAAAGCTAATGCCACAGGCACTAGAGGCAACTCAGTATAACTGGAGACAGAGAACAAGAAAAGTGCAAAATGTAACTACTTAGAGGAAGGAATAAACGAGGATACATCTTTGCAACTCCGTGGCCATAAGCATGGGTTTAATCAGAACTACAAAAAAAATGTCTGGTCTGGCAATACCTCCTCATGCTAGCAAGCTATTGCATGAAACTTTTCCTGTGGAGACCACACACACACACACACCATTTCACACTTGATTATGTTTTAAGTAGAACTGGGAACAATTTTTAAGGAAATACACATCTACATGTCTACATTTCAGAGGGAGGAAATGATCTCCAACTGGACCAGAAGTGGAAATGGCAACACCCATTGACTCCATGAACAACGAAATAGGAGTTGAAAAAATATTGTGAATTTTTGACATTTTTACATATATATATATGTATATATACAATGTATTTGATCATATCTATCTCTCATTCCCTCCCTCCCCCCTCTCTTTCTCACCCTTCTTTTGAATAAGCCTCGTCCTAATTTCATGTCTTTTAACTATATGAGCCATTGAGTTTAATAAGCATTATTGACAGGAGCATGGGTTGTGGTTATTTATTATAGCAAGGGCAACTTATCAATGGCTACATCACTGAATAAATGACTCTGACTCTCTCTTTCCCAGCAACTATTTACTGCCAGTAGCTCCCCAGGAATGGATGTAGCCAGAGAACTCTTGTCCCTGATTCATGCTGTATCAGTAATAATGAAGCTACCTTGGCACAAAGCCCTCCTGCAAGCAGAGCTTCCCATGTCTAGTTTAACATATGTAGTCTAGCGTTCATGCAGATTCCTGCTCCTTTGTCTTCTTGCAAGTATCACTTAGTCTGCAACACCAAGTTCAGTGGATCAAGACATGCCTATAGAGACTCCCTTCATGAAGAAGTCTTCCTCCAAAGAGAGTCACACACTGCTTCAGTTCCCCATTCCCCAGGTACCCTCTGTGGAAACATAGCCCATTGCATCTAGAAAAACACTACGTGCTTCCTTGGTCTATGCTATTCTTTTCATCTCATTTATATTGATGTGGTAAAATACCCCCAACAAAGAGCAATTTAGGGGGGAAGAGGTCTACTTGAGCCCACAATTCCAATTTACAGTCCATCATTGTGGGGAAGTGAAGACAGGGATAGTGCATCCCGTAATATCTACATCCAGGAACAGAGAAAAAAATGCATGGGTGCGTGCCTACTGCTCAGCTGGTAGGTCCTTCCCTGCTTAGGGAACATGGAGTATCTTTGCTCCCTTGAAGGTGATCTATCTTCATTTTTATTAATTAATTAAATTTGGCATGTGCTCGTGCATGGTACTTCTCTCACCTGTGTATAGAGGCACACCACTGCCTTCACATATAAGGCAGCTGGAGGAGGCCATTGAGTGCCTATTACTCTGTGATAGGCTCCCTTGATATAGGGTCTCTCACTAAATCTGGAGCCAGTCTGTCATCCAGCAAACCCCAGTGGATGCCTTATCTCTCCTCCATTCAGCACTAGTATTGTATGCTTGCATATGCTTGCTTTTTACGTGAATGATGGAAATGTGATTTCCCTTATTGATGCAGCAAGTGCTCTTACCACTGGCCATTTCCCCAGCTCCCGACCTATCATACACTCTTCTGGAGCACCTCATCATCTAGAACCACTCTCTTTTTAACGGGATCCTGCAGAGTCGTCCAGAACTGGACAACAGCTTGATGTGTGCCCAAGCCTGCATGAAACACTAAACTGGGGAGAAAACTAGTTGGGGTAAACAGGCTCATTGTTTTGTTTTGTTTTTTTCTTGATTGAATTGCGCCTGGGTTATCTTTAGCTGACAGCTTGCCATAATGCAGGATCGCATTAGAAGGGTGTCTCAATTGAGGAATTGTCTAAATCAGTTTGGCCTACATGTCTGTGGGGGAATTGTAGTGATTGTTAATTGTTGTAGGAGGACCCATCCCACTGTAGGTGATACCATCCTCTAGGCTATATATAGTTAAGCATGAGTTTGTGAGCACTCCAACAAGCATCATCACCCAATGGTCCCTAATGTACATTTTGGAAAAGTAAGTTCCCTGGTCGGAAGTGTTGCTTTTCCTATCTTGAGTTCTTAACCAGATTCCCCTCGATGGTTGACAGTGTCCTGGAATTAGAAGCCCAAACAAATACTTTCTCCTCCAAAGTTGTCAAGGTATTTTGACACATCCACAGTAATGAAACTACAAAAGGTTAGGCTGGCTTTGGACACGACCCTGTGAGCATGTCAACAAGGTAGGGACCTGCTCAGATGAACACAGAGAGGATCATAGGCAAACAAATGTACACATGTGGGATGTGCATAACATCACAGGGACTTGTCTGCAAAGTTCTTCTACTGGCGAGAAAGAAAATGAGCCCAGAAGAGCAGACCTGGTCCTCTGATTTTTTTTCTTCCTCTCAAGCTCCAGCACTTGCATAATATTCTCCACAGAACAAGTATGAATAATAAATGTTTGCAGAATGAATGTTAAACACACACACACAAACACACTGACACAGAGGCCATGGTTAGAGCATTTCTCCTCCACTTGGTTTAGCTCTACAGGGAATACATGTGCCATTTAGATAATTCAGCACACCTCCCACTTGGTGAACCTGGAGCTGCAGTGATTTGTTTATGAAGCATTCATTTTGCACATTATTTTATGCATAGCTTCACTATCAAAACAAATCAAAGGCCTGACAGCTTCTTTTCCTCAAAGGACAAAAAATAAAATGAGATAAAATAAAAATCAATGTTTTTTTAATCAGCTTTCATTCTTTCTTCCCATGCACTGAAGAAGTATCCTAAATAACCCTGCATTCTGGGTCTGACCCTCACCTGGGTAGCTTCTTATTCCTTTGAGGGAAATTATCTGCCAGGTAGGAAGGCAGGGGCCTAACAATTGATCTAGTTGAGGTTTGAAGCCTTTGCTTCACCAACCTAAGGACAGATGGACATCAGATGCCAGATAGCTTGAGTCTATGCTTGCTCCTCCAGAATGAAGGCTAAAAGACAACAGCCTAAATGTTATCTGATAAATTTGTTTGGGGAAGCCATAGATGCCTCTCTGGGTTGTACTGGAGAATAGCACAATTCCTGAAAGAAGAGGGAACTCGGTGTATATGTGAATATAGTCAGCAGAGTGTTTGCTTGTCTTGCATTTTTGAGGA